TTTGTAGAGATTTGTGAATTAAAATTATTTATAAATTTTAAGCATCCGCCAAAATCAATAGAAGATCCATTCTATATTATTGAATTATGTATCAAAAATTTTTATAAATATCCATTAACAACTAATAGCTGTAAATTTTTTTCTGTATTTAAATCTGCTTAAATATTTATTAATTTTAATTCATTATTATTTATGAAAAAACTTGCCTGTTCAAGATAGATAATAGAGTTTTGCTCTAAAATTGTTGATATTTGAAAAATTTTTAGTTAAGAGAAGGTTAAAAAATCTATATTTTTCAGATAAAATAAATAATTTTAGTTCATCATAACTTTTTCTAATGTGATACTAAAAAAATGTAAATAACTTATATCTACAAGATTTATTAAGTTTGCATTGACATTAGCTTCAATTACTGTCAAATTATCAATGAATAAACTTGAAATACTATAGAGTTAAATTAAATTCTATGAGATAATACTTTATGGTTAAATATCTATTTAGCTAATTAAACAAAATTTATCAATGCTACGATAAAAAATAGTACCAAATATTTAGCTTCCTTTTTAAATAACTAATTTTTAATTTTAGAAGTTTTGCACATTGTAAAAATCAAATAGATTATTATCTTCTTAAGTGAGTAAAGAATTGCCAAAGTTATTGATAAATATTTCTTAAATTATAACACTTTCTTAGTTTTCAAATTAAAACTTAAGCTGACTTAAGCTATTAATTTGCTAATAAATTACTCTGTTTATTTAAATAAAACTTACATCTGCTTTAAATTATATTAATCCAATAGATTGAAATATACTTTGTAATGATATAAACTAAATTTCTTCTATATGGATTAAAGATTCTTCACTAGATGCAGCCATAAATATAGCAAAATAATTATGATTAATAATATCTTCTTATAAATTAATTAAATTTATTTAAAATAATTTTATTGTTAAATTTTTTGACTAGTAAAATGGCTACCATGGTAAAGTATTTAGTTTATTTTTCATTAAGCTCTATGTAATATTAACACTATTAATAGTTAAATTTTTATAACCCTAAAAAAGGAATTTAATACTTTCGTTGTTATTTAAGTTAACTTAATCTATTAATAGTTATTAACTGATTATTCTAAAATATAACAATTCTGTGTTTATAATAGATATCTAACTTATACTTAAATCAGATATATTATCTATATAAATAATAGGAAAGGAGCAAACTGCTGATTTTATATATATTTTATTGATGATAAGTTTTTCAATATTGTTAAATAAGAAACTACATCTTTCACTTATTTCTACATTTTCTAATAGAAGATAATTTATTTTCAGAATTTTTATATTTGTAATTGATAATGAGGATTTAATATTTGCGTTTGTAATTTTTAAATCTAATTCTATTTCTTTTTGATATTGAATTAAGACAACATTTTTTTCACAAATGTAGTATATTCCTTACGATTCAATCTACTCTACAATGTTCTTATCACAAGTACTCTCAACATTATTAAGTGCTAGGTTATTATCAGCTAATTCAAGGGATTTGGTTAATAATATGTTTGAATTACACACTTTATAAAGTAAAAGCAGAATTAAAATTTAGTTTATCATGATATGAATATTCAAATTCATTTTATACTTCTTTTTTGTTATTAGTTTGATTTTTTAGTTTTTCGAATTAATTGATTTACGTTTAAAATCATTCAATTTCTATTTTCTTTTTAACTATAAATTCAAAAGTCTATATATCGACTGAATAAATATTTACCAATAAATTTAAGTTACTATGCTTATCCTATAAATTTTGTATTTTTTTAAAATTAAAAAATGAATGTTTAAAAAATGTATTAATATTTCTAAAAAAAAGAAATTTATCATAATAATAATTATTGTTTTATCAATAAAAGTAATCAAATTTTAATATTAGTAAAAGAAAAAATTAAGAAAAATCTTAATTGGCATTTTTCATGATTGTTGAATTTATTTTGATAAGCAAATATTTAAATTTATTTATCTTTGTAATTATCTTAAATACATAAATATGACTATTAAAAAGAGAAAAAATGATTTTTAAAAATTTGATGTTTGTTTTATCAAAAGTAATTACAAAATATGAAGTTTTTTCAAAAAATGATGTAAAAAAAGTTTTTTTTGCTTGAATTTCATGAAAGTTGCTTACTATTTTCATGAATTTAAAAAATTTTTAACCTATTTATTAAATTCTTTTATCATACTTTGTTTTTAATTTTTATAAAAATTAACAAGTAAATATTCCTTAATATAAAAATGTAAATTAAATTAGTGAAGTTATTAACTTTATTAATTAAAATTCAAAACGCTAATAAAAGATTTGCAAATATAATTAATATTCATTAAATAAAACCAAATATAATTATTAGTACATAAATAACTCTATTTTTTTACTTTTTCTTTTAATGCTCTTTTTATTTAAAAATAGATTAACGAATTTTAAAAATAATAAAATCTCATTAATCTTTAAATTTTATATAAAAATAGGAGTTTTTTTATTTTTTTTTAAATAATAAATATAATTAGTATGTTACTAAGTTAAAATTTTAATTGAAATATATAAGCGTTTAGTTATTCATAAAACAAAGATTATCTCAACATAGTAAAAACTGTAAACACTAAAAATCAGGCAATTCAAAGTTCTATCTCTAATTTTATAAAATAAAAGTATAATTATTTATTTATTTATCTATCTTATATTAGTTTTAGATACTTTACTGATTTATTTTAGCATTTTAATCTGATCCTTTTATATTAATTAATATTTAAATTAGTAAAATATTTCTTAAAAACTTTAAACTAACAATAAACCTTCATGTTTTAATAAAATTAAACAAACCCTTACTTAAGATTATTTGAAATTGATAAAATTAACTTAATTCAAAACTTAAACACAAATTTTATATATAATAAAAAATCTAAATATCTTAAATACTAATAATTTTTAAAAATTTTATAATAAAGTTAATATAATTTTATTTTCATTAATTGGCTGTTGCTTCTTTTAGCAATATTATATATACATTGTGCATTAGCTACTCCTGTATGGTTAACCATTTGTTTAAAGACACTATCATCTCTGTTTAAAACATCATAAATCATAGGGTTTTCCAGATTCTATAGCCACACCTTTATCCATTACCACAATTTTATCATAATCTGCTATAGTATTTAACCTATGAGAGACAGTAATCACAGTTGAATTACTGAATTTTTCTCTAATTTTACTTTGTATTAATTCATCAGTTTACATATCGCAATTAGCTGTGGCTTCGTCAAGCACAATGATCTTACTTTATCTTAACTATGCTCTACCTAAACATATAAGCTATTTTTAGCCTGTACTAAATATCTCTGCAGAATTGGTCATATCAGTGTTAATACCATTAGGCAAACTAGTTACTTTTTCTATATATTAAAAATTATTTTGAATGAGAAAATACATTATAAAAATAATTTGATGATATTTAAATAATATTATCAAAGAGTGAATTTGAGAATATAAAGATTTTTAATTTTTGATATATACCTTTCAAATTAATGTCTTATAAAGTAGCAATAATTTATTCATCTGAGAATAGATTTAATGGATCTAAATTTCTTCTTATAGTACCAGAGAAAATAAAAGGTACCTGTGGAATTATGCTAATTCCTCCTCTCAAAGTATGGAGTCCCAAATCGTTTATGTTGTGACCATCTATCTTAATATACATATTACAATTTAATTGTTTTTCCTCATCATCACTTATTTCTTCTTAAATTCCAATATTTGATTATATTTCAGTCATTCTAACCATTCAAAACATTTCCTAAGTCTTATCTGTACTTCATTTTTACATTATTAAATTCAACTACTCCTTTAGTTGGGAAAGACTCTTTTATTTTGCGATTTTGCAGAATCTTATTTGAGTCATACTCTGTTCTCAAAGCAGGTTCTGATTCAATTAATGTCTTATTCATAGCTCTGTAAGCGCTGGACATAGAAACATCCGTTTAAATCATTTATCTAAATAAAATTATTCAATTTTAAATTTGCTAATAGAATTGTATTAATAAAAGATTACCTTAATCCCCATTATATGTTGTCACTGATACTTAAAAAGTAAATAATTGTTTATCCTAGTGTTGAAGGATCTTAGTTAATTGCAAGTAGCATGAAAACACCAATTATAGATGCTATTGTAGTAACTAAGTTAACATAGTATCCAAAAGCTCTTGAATTATTCCAGTATGTAAACGAAGTACGTAGGGAATTGTTCAATATATAATCAAAGTTTTAAGAGAAAAGTTCCTGCTTTTAGTAGATTTTAATTGGTAAAACTCCTTAAGTTGTTTGATTGAAGAAAGTAAAAACAGGTGATCTGTATCTTAAGTCAATTTACTTTGTTTCTTACCAAAACTTTAAGTTATCGATATATGTTTTAAAGCCGACAACAATCTTTTCATCTTCTTCGCTAGTGTAGAGTTTGTCTTTTTTTTAATTATTTTACAAATTAGCTGTTGTTTGCTATTCTTACTTTTACATTGTTTAAATTTTCTTTTTCTCTATTTAAACATTTTCTTTATTTCCCCTTTCATTTTTGTTCTCATCATTATCATTTTATTTTTCATCTAACGATAAGTTGTTGTTATTCATCATTTTATAATTATTTTTAGAATTGTCATAGATAACTCAATTACTCAGTCCTTACAAATGCTATTCTACTTCCTTAAATGTGCCAATCTATTAAAGTGTTCCTTCATCTAATATGATAACTCTATCAGCATTTTTGGTAAAAGGAATTTAGTGTGTTACTAAGAGAATAGTTTTTCCTTTCAACAGCCCTAAATAACATTTTCATTTAAAAGTTTAGCAACCTAAATTTATTAAATTAAAATAATCATTATTAAAATATAAATTTTAAATATAAATAGCAAAAATACCTTTGAGTCAACTGCTGATAAAGGATCATCCAACAAATAAATATCTGCTTGAGAATAAACAGCTCTAGCTAGCGAAATACGAGCCTTTTATCCACCACTAATATTGGCACCTCTTTCTCCGATTTGAGTCTAATCTCCATAATCAAATAATTTAAGATCATCAACAAGGCAACAAGCTTAAACAACTCTATTATAATACTCTTCATCATATTTAGCTCCAAAAATAATATTTTCTTTTATTATTTTATTGAAAATATAAGGTTCCTATTCAACATAGGCTATTCTCCCTTAGAAATTAAAGTATCCTCTGTACTTTGGCACTTCTTTAAAGATACATCTTAAAAGTGAAGATTTTCCACTTCCTACTTTTCCTACGATTCCTATATATTCCCCTTTCTTTATTTCAAAATTAATGTCTTTTAGAACAGGTTCTTTCTCTTACCAATAACAATTAAAGCTTTTCATTTCTATTTCGCCTATATCAAGATTTTTTCCTTCAAAGTTTTCAATTTCTTTAAATTTTAAAAGAGATAAATTAAAAAATTTGTTAATTATTAATAGATTTTTTTTAAAGGAAACAAACAAAATAAAAATATTTAAGCTAAAATAGTACTCTCCATGCAAATCATATCAGTAGACTTCATAGAAATAACTATGATTATTCTTCCCAAAACAACTTTTAATTCCGCTAAACCTACAATGCCAAATCAGATGCGACTAATTGCTGCTTAATATAAGAAAGTAAATCTAAAGTAGAATACATATTAGCAACATTCAAAGCGCTTGGTTCACCATATCTATAGTACAGTAAAATAAGTCTGGAATAGTTTAAATATTAGGATGAAACTAAATCAATTTTATTCCAATCAAAGATCCTTCATATAAAACATGGATTAAAATACATATAAATGAATTTATATTTTAGATAAAGGTTAATTTATGAAAAATTATATAAAAAATAAGCTGAAAAAACGCCTAAATTTTCATTTTGAGTTTGGCGGAGGTAAGAAACATTAAAATATAAATTTTTATTCTGTATTAAGTAGTTACATAAATATTAAAAAAATTTTTTTAATGAAAATTTAAGTCATTTAAAAAGCAAAACTTCCTTAATTTCCTAATTTATAAAAAATATAAAATTTCAAATTCAAAATTCAACCACGATTAGTTAATAAATCTAGTAATTTGTAAACAACTTTTTTAAATTTGGAAGTAAAATGTTTCTAATAAAATTAAATATATGAATTATTATTAATTTTACTAAATTTAAATTTAAAAAAACTATTCTATTATAAATCTAAACTTATAATAAAATTTATATAGATAGAAATAACTATTAAATAATAAATACTTATCTCTATTACTAGATTTTTATTTATAATTTAGCTATTATAGATTAAATCTAAAATAATAAATTTATAAAATATGATAAAATGTAAACACAAAATAAATAGATAGAATTCAGACATCAGAAACTTAACTTGATATTATACTTTTTAATTACTAAGATCTCATATTCTTAACACATTTTATTACTCTTTTAAGAATTTAATTAATTCTTAAGTTTTTAGAAATATCTCTTTCCTTCATACGACAACATTTCAAGTATTTAAATTTAATTTGTATACTTTTCATAAAAGAAGTTAGGATCATCCATAGAATATAAATAACAAATATTAAGTTCACTATTTATATGATTAGGTAAAAAGCTTTTCTGAAATTTTAGATAGAGCTTTTTTCGTTTTAATCAAATTGGAGATACATGTTAGAAGATTACAATAGGAGGATAGATATTGTTATAGATATCTTTTCTACATTATTCAAAAGTATCAATTTAAATGGGTTATATGTATTAAGGGCAAGTAAATATGACAGTAAAAGCACAGAAATCATTATAGTGCTTATTTAAGGATATTGTTTGAGAGAAACATAGAGTAATATCAGAATATTTTTTAAAATAAACCTTATTATTTCCCAAAAGTAGAATTTTTCTTTGTATTCAATATACAGAAATCCATATGAGAACATAACAGAGACACAATGTAATCTCTTGTTAGATTTAATGAACTTATAAAATACTGCTGCAGGAAAACATATCAAGAAAACAACCAAGATAGAAAGACTAAGGCTCTGTATCTTTATAAACTCAGAAGATACTCCGCATTATAAACTTAGATCAATAAGAGAATAAGATGCATCTTTACCTAAATCTATACAGAATAGGCTAGAT